AGATAGATAGATAGATAGATAGATAGATAGATAGATAGATAGATAGAGATGGATGGAGATAGATAGACAGACAGACAGACAGACAGAGAGAGAGACACACACACACACCTGCCAAATTGTAGCTTTACAAATACTTGCATTAGGAAATTTCAAATACTTGTTTTTACTTACACTGATTCTTTCTTTTAAAGTAATGTTTAATTTATAACCACCACAGAAGCAAAGATGAAGGTTTAGCATTTGAAAACATTTCTCTGCGGATGTTCTGCTTTACTTTTTAGAAAGATCAAAAGAAGGCCGCTAGCACCTTTTATAAAATGTTTTTTTTTTCATCTTGAATTGCAGCTCACTTTATCAGATGCAAAAAAAAAAAAAACGGCGGAACGAATGTAAGATATAAAATTGAATTTTAATTGAAGTGGAGGGGGCGTATAAAGGAAGGGAAGGCAGGAGGGCTAGAGAAATTTGCATGATTAGGGGGCCAGTATATTGCTGCCATTGTTTGCAAGTTCTTTTTTTTCAAGTATCCGTATTAGTTTATCCAAAAAAAAAAAAAGAATGTGAAAAAATAGGGGAGGAGAAAGGGAAGAGGAAAAAGTGTAGGAGAAAAGGGAAAAGAAAAAGAAAAGCATTGACTTCCAGTTCCTTTTGGCACAGTAGAATAAGCCATTTCTATGACAACAAACTTAACAAATCAGCAAAATAAAATAGTTTCATTCCCCCCCCACCTCAAACGCAAAAGCCAAAAGCTTTTGCTTAACGCACTGTAAGCCGCCCTGAGTCTCCGGAGAAGGGCGGCATATAAATCAAATTAAAAAAAAAAAAAAGCGATTACTAAATAGAAACAAAAATCAATTCTGTTCTTTTTTTTTTCAATCGTTTCAGAATAACAAAATTGGAAGGGATCTTGGAGGTCTTCTAGTCCAGCCCCTTGCAGAAAAACTATGTTGCATGCTCCAAAACGTATAGACTGCTCAAAAACTCTATTTTCCCTTATATTGGGCAGGGTAATGAATCTGACCTATCTCTGTCCAGCTCATTCTGTCTGTATCTATGGTTTCTCAACCATAGTGGCTTAAAGACATATGGACTTCAACTTCCAGAATTCCCCAGAAAGCTGAGTGAGGAACTCAGACTTGAGTTGAAGTCCGCATATGTTCAAGTTGGTGAGATTCAGAAACTGTGGTCGACACCAGCATTGCTTTGGGGACGAGGGCTAAACTTTCTGGGACTAGAACCAGGTTTTTGGTCCAGCACCTTCATCACTAGCCCACACTAGAATAGAATAACAGAGTTGGAAGGGACCTTGGAGGTCTTCTAGTCCAGCCCCCTTCTTAGGCAGGAAACACTACACCACTTCAGATCAATGGTTATCCAGCCTCTTCTTAAAAACTTCCAGTGTTGGAGCATCCACAATTTCTGGAGGCAAGTAGTTCGACTGATTCATTGTTCTCACTGTCAGGAAATTCCTCCTTAGTTCTAGGTTGCTTCTCTCCTTGATTAGTTTCCACCCGTTGCTTCTTGTCCTGCCTTTAAGAGCTTTGGAGAATAGCTTGACTCCTTCTTCTTTGGGGCAGCCCCTGAGATATTGGAACACTGCTATCATGTCTCTCCTAGTGTTCTGTCCCCGTTCCACTCACGCACCCCCACAGACGGCCCGGAGTTAATAAGCCACACGACAAAATTCTTTGAAAATAAAGCTGGCAGCAATCCAGTGGCTAGCTGCCAATTCAGACTTTACTCACACAAAACAAAGATTAGACTGCCAGCATTCCGATAAAACAGGCAGAGTTTTCAACAATACAAGGATTAATCCAAATGCAGTCCGATAAAGCAGGCAAAGTCCAGTAACACAGAGATCATGGATTATTTCTAGTTTTTGCTCGTCACAAACTGAACCGGCCACCACACCCACATTTATACCCTGTGGGGTTTGGTCCAGTGACTCAGCTAATCTCTGGCACGCCTTCCCCTCTGCTGCGCATGCTTCTCCCTGCGCCTCTGGCAAGGGTCCAGCCAACACTTATCTCCTTCGTCGCTGTCCACCTGTGGCTGAGGGGACATGCTTGGCTCTGAGCCTATCTCTTGGCCTTCGGTGTCCTCCGGAGGCATTGCCAGAAAGGAGGGTCCTGGAGAGGGAGGCCTTGCCAACTCCTCTTCCTCACTCTCAGAGTCTGCATCTGTCGATAGCCCAGGCTCAGGCAACGGAGCCACAACACCTAGTCCTTCTTTTCATCAAACTAGACATACCCAGTTCCTGTAACCGTTCTTCATATGTTTTAACCTCCAGTCCCCTAATCATCTTTGTTGCTCTTCTCTGCACTCTTTCTAGAGTCTCCATGTCTTTTTTACATCGTGGCGACCAAAACTGGATGCAGTGTTCCAAATGTGGCCTTACCAAGGCTTTATAACAGGCGTGAAATCCAGCAGGTTCTGACAGGTTCTGGAAAACCAGTAGCGGAAATTTTGAGCAGTTCGGAAAATTGGCAAATGCCACCTCTGGCTGGCCCCAGAGTGGGGTGGGAATGGAGATTTTGCAATATGTTAAGTGCACTTTGCTCCCTTTTTAAGACATTTTTTTTGCCACCGTTGTTAAGTGAATCTCGCTTCCCCATGGACTTTGCTCATGAGAAGGTCACAAAAGGGGATCACATGACCTCGGACACTGCGACGGTCATAAACATGAGTCAGTTACCAAGCTTCAGAATTTCGATCACGTGACCAATCCGGGGGGGGGGGTCGTAAGTGTGAAAAACGGTCATGTCACTTTTTCCTGGGCTGTTGTAACATTGAATGGTCCCTGAATGAACATTTGTAAGTTTGAGGACTGCCTGTCACTCTTTCAAATCAATCGTCTTGGTTTCTACTGCTCCCCGTTTTGTTTCGTTGCTGCAATATTGGATGGCCTGTTTATTGCTCGTAAAATTTGCTAATTCCCTCTTGATTTGCAAATGTGCCAGATTGACGCGTAACTGCGAGAAAACATTCCATTCCAATAATGGAAACCTCAAAAGCAGCCATAAAACCGTCCGGAAAAGTCAATACTGAAATATCTAGTTGTAAATGTAAAATGGCTAGTAAAATAACTGGATTTTACTACCTACTTGAGCAGGTCACACAAAGGCGGCAGTGTAGACATTGGTGTGTTAAAGACAAAATATAAACGAGCATAGCTCAAAGTCTGTAGAGATTCTCAGTCATCCAAGTCATGGTTGTCCCAAAGGACAACTTTTTCCAAGAGGCAACTGGACTTCCCTGTTTTTTCTTTTGAAGACGTTTCACTTCTCATCTAAGAAGCTTCTTCAGCTCTGACAGGAGTTTGACAGGAGGTCAAACTCGATTTCATTGAGGGCCACATCGGGGTTGTGTTTGACCTCGGAGGGCAAGGTGTGTGGTGGGCGTGGCTGGGGGGGCATGGCCATGGTGGGCGTGACATGGGTCTTGTGTTGGGGGTACCTGTGATGGCCAAGTGCTAAGGCAGGACTTCCCTGAAATCCTCCCTCACTCTCATTATAATCTCCTTCCTTCCTTCCTTCCTTCTATGTACACCTAGAGCATATGCTCACTTTGTGAGCATCTTTGTGTGTCCAATCACCCTTGGTCAATAAAGAATTCTATATTCTATTCTATTCTATTCTATTCTATTCTATTCTATTCTATTCTATTCTATTCTATTCTATCCTATCCTATCCTATCCTATCCTATCCTATCCTATCCTTTCCTTTCCTTTCCTTTCCTTTCCTTTCCTTTCCTTTCCTTTCCTTTCTCTTCCTTCCTTCCTTCCTTCCTTCCTTCCTTCCTTCCTTCCTTCCTTCCTTCCTTCCTTCCTTCCTTCTATGTACACCAAGAGTGTATGCACCAAGACAAATTCCTTGTGTGTCCAATCACACTTGGCCAATAAAGAATTCTGTTCTGTTCTATTCTATTCTATTCTATTCTATTCTATTCTATTCTATTCTATTCTATTCTATTCTATTCTATTCTATTCTATTCTATTCTATTCTACTCTACCCTTTCCTTTCCTTTCCTTTCCTTTCCTTTCCTTTCCTTTCCTTTCCTTTCCTTTCCTTTCCCTTCCCTTCCTTCCTTTTCTTCTTTTTTCCTTACCTCTTCATTCTCCTTTCTTCTTCCTTCCCCTCTTTCTTTCTTTTTGTTGGTCTTTCCTCTTTCCCTTTCTCCTTTCCTGTCCCTTCTTGCACTCTCAAATGCAAAAGGGGAAACATTTCTCCTTTCGTTTTGTTTCTAGCTTGTTTTCAGAGCCCTCTACCAGTGAAAACTGAGCCCGAGGGGGCCCTGTAATGCCTCCCTCCCTCCCGCACCTGATTTTCAGCCTGGACAGTCTCCTGCACCTTTTCCCAGCAAAAACGGAGCCTGGGGGAGCTGCATGCACCCCCACTGAGCTCCATTTTCGCCAGCCCCGCAGGCCAGATCTAAGCACCCCATGGCCGGATCAGGCCTTGATAAATGTCAGTCATTTCTTATTCTAGAAATGTTATGCTTACAAGGTCTTCAAGTTTCCCCTATTACTTATCAGTGATTAAAATTGTCGGAGAATGGAGATAATTAACAAACAGGCTGGAGAGGCTTCCTTTCCGTGTTTAGCAGCCGAGGTGGTGACATTTCACAGTAAGTTGGCTGAAACTTCTAATTAAAAGCTAAAGCCTGCATTTCAGCGGGATGAAGGTCCTTTTTAATTTTTCCCCCCCTTTTAAAAAGCTCGCCGTCTTTGATCCATTCAAGTAGCAACAGATCGCATTGATTTTAGCGAGCCTCTTTTAAAGGGGTCTCAACTTAGATCTAAGCTTGTTTGACTTACGCAGGCAGGATTAAATATCATTGATTTGACTGGTTCATATTACAAAGTTGCAGTTGTGCGTTAGGAAATTGTCTGTGATCTGTTATTAATGGTTTATTTTAGCTCACCCATGTTTTATGAATGTTTTTTTTAAAAAAATAGCGGACAATAAGGGAGGATATCTATGTATGGAGACTCATAAAACCTGCGAATATATGTGTGTGTGTGTGTGTGTGTTCGTAGATTTTCATGGGTACAGGTATGCAAGTCTTGGTGTATTCGGGTCTTCTCCCATGTAAGATTGAGAGCACGTTGGCAATGTTTCGGCAGAATCTCATCTGCCATCGTCAGGCTTATGCAAGGGGTCTTCTGCAACGATCCTGATGATGTCATTCGTCATCTTCAGGCTGGTGTTTTCGGCTTCGTGCTTCTAGGAGCAATGTGAAAGGAGCTTCGTGCTTCTAGGAGCTGGTGTTTTCGGCTTCGTGCTTCTAGGAGCAAAAAACATTGCTCCTAGAAGCACGAAGCCGAAAACACCAGCCTGAAGATGACGAATGAGACTTCTATATGTATATGTATATGTATATGTATATGTATATGTATATGTATATATGTTTATGTAGGTCTTTGGTTATTCGGGTTTTCTTCCGCGTAAAATTGGAAGTACCTTGGCGATGTTTCGACGAAGTCACATTTGTCGAAACGTCGCCAAGATACTTCCAATTTTACGCGGGAGAAAACCTGAATAACCAAAGACCTACTTACAAATACCCGCGAAAACCTCAGAAAACATGTATGTATGTATGTATGTATGTATGTATGTATGTACTGTATGTATGTATTTTTCTTGAACTGGGTATTTTCCTACGTAAACCAAGTTTTTCAAATTGCAGCCATAGCTCAGTGAAATCACATCCACTATCCTAGGCTTCTTCAGACAGCAAGCAAGCATTTTGCTGCCTATTGGGAGACTAATATAGATCTATTTCGGACTGATACATTTCACATTGATGTGGTCTGGCTGTCCTGGAGAGGGAGGCCTTGCCAACTCCTCTCCTTCACTTTCAAAGTCTTCTTCCTCTGATAATACGGGCTCGGGGGTTGGAGTCACAACAAAGCTGGGACAAGTAACGGGAGCTCACCCCGTTACACGGCACTAGGGATTCGAACCACTGAACTGCAACCTTTCAATCGACAAGCTCAGGGTCTTAGCCACTGAGCCACCGCGTCCCATCTGGACAACTAACACATATGTGCACAGGGAATCTTTACCTTCAGTCTATAGTTCCAAACAAATATTTTTTGCAGATAGGAATTTAGCTCTAGGAGTACCCAGAAAGAAACAATTTTCATTCCCCCACTCCCAGAGAAACAGACTTTTCAAACGAGGGAGTAAAGATTAACACACTTGCAGTCTAGACTGAAAAACATGTAATCCAAGTAGAATATAACAGTTCCGATGAAGGGTGTTAATTGGAAGAAATGTTGAGGTTCTAACCCAAGAATTGCACCTTATTTTCAAATAGGCAACTTGTGATCTCGTCATTTTTTTTTTTTTTTCATCTTACATCTTTGATACAAGGGGTTGTCGGAAAGCTGCCTAAGATAGAACAGTCTCTGTCTGGTTACAGTTTTTGGTAAATATTAGGGTTTTTTTTAAAAAAAAAATTAATGAAAGAAATAACATGTGCAACGCTATTGGATGGAATAGACCAACTGATTTGATTAAACAAAAAAAAAAGTCAGTAATAACAGGGATGAAATATATTTGTTTTACAGAAGAATTGCATTGCGTTTGCTCTGAAAAATTATTTTGAGAGATGGACATCTCCCTTTATTAGCCCGGTCTGCGTACACTGGATGCAAAAATAGAATTTCTTTGCTCTAAAAGAGTCCTGGGCAACTCATTTCATAAAACTTGTTATTGTTTTTTTATACAGATTCAGCAAGATCGTGTGAAGCAAATGGACATTGAGAACAGCTTCATCACCAAATGGAAAGACACGCAAGTATGTAAAGACAATGCCTTCATTTATGCGGCGAATAAATAAACTTTGAAAAGGACCTTTCCCTGGTTTTCTGAAACTTAGCAAGTTCGCAGTGACCCGCATTTTGGGGGAATGGGGGACGAGCGACGGGAGGAAGACAAGGCAATAAAATCTTGACCAACGTGTATTGAAATGACCTTGCTAATTCAACCTCCCTCCCTGTTTGCCTGCAGCCTGAAAGATTTCCAAAATAAATCCAGTGGTGGGATTCAAATCATTTAACAACCGGTTCTCTGCCCTAATGACCGGCTGGGTGGGCGTGGCCATGGTGGGCGTGGCCAGGGGGTGTGACAGGCAGCACTCGGCCTCCTGCACCTCCCTGGGATGCAAGTAGATAAATAGGTACCACTTTGGTGGGAAGGTAACAGGGCTCCAGGATGTCAAGGTCCCTTCTAACTCTGTTCATCTGTTATTATTCTGTCATTCAGAAGTTGTGGGAGCTTCATCACTGGAAGCTTTCAAGAAGAGACTGGTGTCAGGTTTCGATGTCATCTCAAATAAATTGCACTCCCAAACAATTAATCTTTGCTGAAATATTCCATTTATTGAGTACGACAGATCTGGCCCCGACTTCGTCGTAGCCGATACTAACCCTCTGACCCCCAATCCCTTCCCTTTCCGTTCCCCAATTCTCATCTTCTCATTGGCCATCTTCCAAGTCAGTCTCCCCAGCTTCTGACCTCACCCCACAGGAATGTCCCCCCTCCCATCCCATCTCCTAGGGGATATTATCTACAGAGAAAATAAGTAGGTGAAAAGTCAAGCCTCGTCTCCTCCTTTTTATGGCAGCATCAGAATGCTGACAACTGGACTGCCGTCTGTCAGAAATGGCGTAAGGTCTCCTGCTTGGACGGGGGGTTGGACTAGATGACCTACAAGGTCCCTTCCAACTCGGTTAATCTGTATCTCTTACTGCTCATTTGGTACATTTAAATTGAATAAATAAATCTTTTAAGTAGCCGGGGCATTTAAGGAAAGTTTGTCTTTGCTACAAGGATATTTTTTTTTTTGTCATTCTTTTGTGGACCATGTATTTACCCTCATTCATTTTCGGCATATGACAAAATTGTCTTACATCTGCAGCACTCAAGATTCAATTGTTTCAGGAAGTCTTAATAGACTAGGATAAGGAAAAAGTGGGGCGCCCCAATGTTGATTCATTGCCATATTTAATTTTTTTTAATAAAATATCTTTTACTTTAGATTTCTCAGGCTGGAGACTTGCTAATTGATGTCTATGTGGAAAGGAAGGAACCCGATTCCAGTATTATAATAAGGGTTTGTATGACTTTTTCTTTTTTTTAAAAAAATGTATATTTCATCTGTTGCTTTAAAGCAGTTCAAATAGCCATTCTTTAAAAAAAAAAAAAACTGGCATAAGTTGCTAATTTTAAAATTTATATCTATTTAATTATTATTACATTTTGCAGAACAAGTCCCATACTCAGGTAACCAGACAATGGGCACATACTATCATATCTGGTGGACATGTGCAAAGGACGTATTTTTTCTCTCCCCACCCCCCTTTATTTGTGAGAGCATAAAATTTGTGAGAGTTTTGAATAATTTCTAAAGTCTTGTCTGATCTTCAAAGTAGATCTCACCAACAATGGAGGCGGAAGAATTGACTCACGACGTACTGGGCATCAAAAACCTCACCCCTCACAAGGATGACACGTGGGCCACCTTTGAAGTGATTGAAAATGGAGAACTAGGTTAGTCATTGTCGGTATTGGCTTGGAATATTTTTTTTATGCTTAATGATTCCTTGCTGTTTTCTTCGCAGAAAAAAACGAAACAAAACAAATAGCAGGAGCCTTAGCGCTATTCCATGGAAACACTCGATGTAAGGTGATTCTGAAGAAGTTCGGTTTGGAGAGGTGACAGAAGAGGGACTACCTTGACCAAACTCTTCTCTCCTCCCCTCCACTCTAATTTATTCTCCCCTCCCGCCACCTCTAATTTATTCCCTCACCCATCCCCTCTACTATTGTCCCCTCCCACCAACCCTCCCTTCCTTCCTTTTCTTCCATTCCTTCCTCCCTCCCTCCCTTCGCTTCCATTCCTTCCTTCTTTCCTTCCTCCCTCCCTCTCTCCCTCCCCCTTCCTTCTCATCCATTCCTTCCTTTCCTTCCTTCCTTTGTTCTTTATTTCCTCTCTCTCTCCCTCCTTCCCTTCTCTTCTCTCCCGTTCTTCCCTCCCTCCCGTGCCCTCCCTCCCTCCTTCCTTCCTTCCTTCCTTCCTTCCTTCCTTCCTTCCTTCCTTCCTTCCTTCTTCCATTCCTTCCCTCCATCCCTCCCTCTCTCACTTCCATATACCCCTCCCTCCCTCTCTCCCTTCCATTCTTTCCTTCCATACTTCCTTTGTTCTTGATTTCCTCCCTCCCTCCCTCCCTCCCTCCCTTCATTCCTTCCTTCTTTCCTTCCTCCCTCTCTCTCTCCTTCCCCCTTCCTTCTCATCCATTCCTTCCTTTCCTTCCTTCCTTTGTTCTTTATTTCCTCCCTCTCTCCCCCCTCCCTTCTCTTCTCTTCCGTTCTTCCCTCCCTCCCGTTCCTTCCTTCCTTCCTTCCTTCCTTCCTTCCTTCCTTCCTTCCTTCCTTTCCTTTCCTTTCCTTTCCTTCCCTTCCTTCCCTTCATTCTGTTCCTTCTTCCATTCCTTCCCTCCATCCCTCCCTCTCTCACTTCCATATACCCCTCCCTCCCTCTCTCACTTCCATTCTTTCCTTCCATACTTCCTTTGTTCTTGATTTCCTCCCTCTCTCCCTCCCTCCCTTCATTCCTTCCTTCTTTCCCTTCCTCCCTCTCTCTCTCCTTCCCCCTTCCTTCTCATCCATTCCTTCCTTTCCTTCCTTCCTTTGTTCTTTATTTCCTCCCTCTCTCCCCCCTCCCTTCTCTTCTCTTCCGTTCTTCCCTCCCTTCCGTTCCTTCCTTCCTTCCTTCCTTTCCTTTCCTTTCCTTTCCTTTCCTTCCCTTCCTTCTGTTCCTTCTTCCATTCCTTCCCTCCCTCCCTCCCTCCCTCCCTCCATCCCTTCCTTCTTTTCTCTTCCTTTCCTCCCTCCCTTCCATACACTCCCTCCCTCCCTCCTTCCTTTTTTTCCTCCTTTCCTTTCCTTCTATTCCTTTCTTCCTCCTTCCTTCTCTTCCTTCTCTTCCATTCCTTCCTTCCCTCCACCCCTCCCTCTCTCCCTTCCATACACCCCTCCCTCCCTCCCTCCCTCCCTCTCTCCTTCCCTCCATTCTTCTTCCATTTACCATTAATTGCAGTACTCTGTGGAAACCTTCTGTCAAACATGGCATTTTCTGTTGGGAGAATTGTGGGTGTGCATTTACCGTCGCAAGTAGCTGCGCTTAATTTACCAAGCTCCCGTTTTGAAGCGGTGCCTTTCCTTGTGAAGCAATCTTCCCCGCTTTCCAGGGAATTCAGTCTTTCTCCTTACAACCCTCACCTCAATTTAATAATTGTTTACGAGATGAAACGAAACTCTGAGAACGCAAGCATAGCCTACATTTTCCAGAATGCAATTTCCTTCTAATATTTATTATTAGAGTGGAACAAAGAATTCCGTTACTGTTTACTAGCGACATAGCATGACCATGGGAGCAAAATAATGGGATATATAAGTTTGAGAGCGAGAGGTCTGAAGTGGTTGGAACTAAAATATTAACAAGGAGCTGAAACATTTGCACATTAAGCAGCAGAGGTAGAAAATGAAATTATCTGGTCTTATGTGGTGGATTTGATATTGGTGGGACCTCTGGTTTATAAAAATTTTGCTAGCAATTTCTATAAGAGGCGTAGTTTGCAAATAATGTGCGTGCAGCTGATAAAATAATGAATGTTTGTCAACCGATGATTTATGTTCAACATAAATGCTCCCGGTTCAGACCGGATTGGGCGATCCGGTAGTGATTGTGGCAGGTGGTTCGGAGAACCGGCGCGAGCTCCGCCCACCCACCCAGGTGTCATTACTTCCTGGTTTTAACCAGACAGTAATGTGTTTTTTACCCTCTGCACATGTGCAGAAGGTTTTGCGCATGCACAGAGGGTCTGCGCGCACATGTTGTTAAGGATATTGTTGAGTTACACCCGAAGTTGTGGTTTATAAAGCAGAGTACCGTTAGAGTTTTACGCACGGAAACGGTTTTGAGAGTAATTGTGAATAACATACAGACAAACTGGGTTTATAGTATTTTACTTTTAGGGAAAAGCAAATTCATAGTCTTTTAACAATCCAAGTCTTAGCCATATAAAGTGCAATATAAGATCAATCCAGGGATATAAAATCTTACCAGTTTGTAGAAAAATACAAGGAACAATCAGGAACAATATAAAAACAATTCAATAAATATCAGAAAGCAGTAAATAAATAATCATGATCAAACAATTGACCATAGAGAGATCAAAAAGAGTTACAGCGTAGCAGCAGGTAAAAATGGTGTAGTGTCCACACTAACCATAATTTAGCTCTCCTTAAATACATTGGCTACAGAGCTCAGCCAATCAGGATGCAGAATGACTCAGCACAGTTCTTAAAGCTACATAATACATTCACATAATACAAGCATACAATGTTGGCTTATATATTTCCTGGCCAACCAATTAGGCAATAACCATTTCCTAACACATATGATGCGCTCACACGAGTGAAGTGAGCGTGCGCACGCAGCGTGTGCACTTCCAAACCAATAAGGAAGGTAAGTAGATTTCACCCCTGGTTTGACATTCCTGCTATAGGACACCTGGAAACATCCAGAATGAGCAACTGATCTCCAGATCACAACCAACCACATTTTAATTCTTTTCTTCTCTTCTAGAACGTCCCTTGCATTGCACCGAGAACATCCTAGAACAGATCCTTCACTGGAGTTCCTTGGCCAACCCCAGCAATGCCTCTCTTATAATAAAGAAATTTCCAACCGTAGGACTTACGGGTGAAGGTAAATACTGAAATGCATTCCCTCTTACAGGTAGTCCTCGACTTACAACAATTCATTTAGTGACTGTTCGACGTTACAGTGGCACTGAAAACAGTGACTCATGACTGTTTTTCATCCTTATGACCAGCGGTGAAATCCACTTCGCTACCAGTTCGGGTGCGCTCCAGCACATGCGCCTCTTCTGCGCATGTGCAGGCCCAAATAGTTAGTATTAAATACAAACAGTTCCAAAACAAACAGATTTTATTAGAACAGCTGAGAATTAACTCATTCTCAGGGTAGTCCAAACTAAATTAAAGCAAATTCTTCAAAACACCATTCCTCAGTTTATCACCGACCTTGGGATAATTAGGCAAACTGCCAAAGGCTTTTCTTGGCAAAAGTTCAGAAGCAGAAGACGCCGACAAGAAATGAATACAGTGAAACAAGAAGCAATTCTCTCAACATTGTTTTCCGGCAAAGAGGCCAAGAGCCATTGCTGGTCTTTTAAGCCTTATGGGAGGGACCAATCATCTCTTGGTCTTACTCCTGAGTCATCCTCTCTGCTTTAGCTGCTCCTGCCTTCTGACAGCTCTTCTCATACGTGCACTAGGAACAGGCTCCTCCTGTTCCTCTGCCTCTCTACTGTCAGCCTCTGGAGGCTCCGAAGTCTGCACATCACTCCCCAATGGCCCTGACCCCATCTCTGCCTCTGACGCAGAGCCCTCATCCGGGCCTTCCCACTGCCTTTTATCCCCAGAGCTAGGATGGGGCTTCCCTAGCAGCGGTGGTTTATCTGTTCCAAGGACCAGCCATAGATTTCCATTGCTCTTCTCTCCTTTGCCTTCTGTGCATCTGTGCATCAGGCACTGGACCCAGCTGTTCCTCCTCTTCCTCATCAGCCACCTCCAGACCTGGGGGCTGTTGACTTTCCATCTGAGGGCTGACGGACAACCCAGGCTCCGCCTCTGTCTCGCGCTCTCTGCCAGCTCCATTTTCTCTTTCGCCTCAGAGCTCTCAGGTTGCCTCGATGTTGACCTTGACTCCCACACCTTCTCCTCCTCCTCTGATTCGGCCGCTGGACAGGCCACAATCCTTGCACTATAAGATGGTAGAAATTTTGCAAATGTTTCTCGAAGAAGGCTGTCACTTCCTTTTTCTCTTCTCAAGGCCAACCTTCCATACAAGTAGTCCTTGAGCCCCCCCAATTTCCAAGTGAGATTGCTAAGGGAGACAACTGTCCAGTGAGTTTTGCACCATTTTATGATTTTTTTTTGGTTGCGTTTGTTAGATGAATCCCTATGTAACAAAATGTGGGACCCACTGCTGGCTTCAACAGTCATAAGTGTGAAAAATGTCCTAAGTCTCTGAAACTTTGAACGGTCCCTAAATGAAACCTCCGCTCCTTCCGTGGCGACCGTTATCAACAAATCTCCTGATCTGTTGGGAATTCAGTTTTAACCGTTGGGTTTTTAATTGAATTATTTTTCTATTTCATTTTATTGTTGTCGTTTTATTGTTGTGAGCCGCCCCAAGTCCTTCGGGAGAGGGGCGGCATATAAATGTGAATAAAATAAATAAATAAATAAATAAAATAAACTGTCGGAAGTCAAGGAATACCTGTATTCTATTGGCAACGTTTTGTACTTTTAAACTACAGGTAGTTTCCACTCGCTCTTCTTTTTATCATCTGCTTAGCAAAGTCCCTCAGCAAACAGGATCTTGTAAACCTGTTTTGTGCAGCTTTATTCTTTGATAGATTTCAGGGCCGTTGACAATTCTGTTCTCTTTGCCTTAATAAGTGGCTCCTGAATGAAACCCAGTGGGCTTTCTGATTTTAGCGTTATTGGTCTATCCATTGTCACTGATACAGCCTAATGCAAGGCTCTAAAAAGGCAATAAGGAAAGCAAATCAAATCGTGATTTCGTTCTCAATTTCTTACAAAGACAAGCTGGCGTCTTTTCAGGAGCGTTTAGCTTCAGTGGACTATTGAAAGGAAATGGTGTGGCTTTTTTTTTTCATTTTTTGTTTTAAAGTAGGTGGACGTGCTGGCTCAGTGGCTAAGACGCTGAGCTTGTCGATCGAAAGGTCGGCAGTTCAGCGGTTCGAATCCCTAGTGCCGCGTAACAGGGTGAACTCCCGTTACTTGTCCCAGCTTCTGCCAACCTAGCAGTTCGAAAGCACGTAAAAAATGCAAGTGGAAAAATAGGGACCACCTTTGGCGGGAAGGGAACAGCGTTCCGTGCGCCTTTGGCGTTGAGTCATGCCGGCCACATGACCACGGAGACGTCTTCGGACAGTGCTGGCTCTTCAGCTTTGAAACGGAGATGAGCACCGCCCCCTCTAGAGTCGGGAACGACTAGCACGTATGTGCAAGGGAAACCTTTACTTTTACCATTAGGTGGTGAGGAGAATTCAATCAGCCCCACGGATGTTTCTTTATTCCGCTGATTGCAATGATGCTTATTCCACCTTTAAACCATACAAGTCAGGATAACTCATTGTCATTTCAAAAACCTGGCTTGTTTTTAAAGAAACCAGAGTTGACATTCTCAAGGGGGTTGGAGAGCAAAATATTGGGTTGGCAAGCCACGATGATGGGATTTGTGCATTGCACTAAGCCAGCAACAAGGCTATCACGCCTCATTTTAGCATGAATCCCGCGAATAATAATTATATGTAGCGGAAGTGGGAGCAGGTGTTTGCATTTTCCTCCAGTTGAGCTAGCAAAGGTTCGTTAAAGTAGCGCTAATGTTAAGGTTATTGTTGTTGTGTTACCAACCAGCAGAGTGGATTGCACAGAGAAACGTTGCTGAGAGCAATGAATAAGAGATATGCAAACTGGTTTATCAAAAGCTTACTTTATAGTAGAAAAACAGTCTCATAGTCTTTAAACAAATTCCAAGTCTTTGCCAGTAAATCAGTCCAGTAGTTACAGAATCTTCTTACTCAACAAAGAGTAGTTGGTTAGAATAACAAACTCACTCTGGTTCACGATGGTTGCAGATCCATCAAACAATGATTACAGATAGCACCTCCTCTCAATGGTAGCTTATCATCACAGCTTCATACACAATGGCAGCATAGCATTGCAGCTTCCTCTCAACAGCAGATCATAGCAGCAACTGAACACGTTACAGAAGCTTTGCTTAAATATTCTCACAACCAGTAATTATGTTATTACAGCCTGACTCAGCATTAAAGCCACATAATACAGTTACAGCTTAAAGTTACAGTATACTTATATTGCCTGTACAACATAGTTAGGCTCAAACCATATCCTAACAGCTAACGTATGCTTTAGCATTCTGTTTGAATCTTGTTAATGTTCTCATTTGCGTATGCCGAAAAACATGGCAAAGGAAAGCATGGCTCTGGAATTATGTCCAACCTCTTAATAAAAAGCCCTTTTTGGATCTACCTGAATCAAAACAAAGAACCATATCCTGAGCCATCCCCGTAGCAGCACATCTTACCAGCAAGGATCCTGGTTAGACTCTCTAGGATTTGTCTGTCTTTTCCTCGATGTACAGAATGATGGGTTGAATATTGTAAAGAGAAGGAGAACCCGGGGTGGAGTCAAGAGGGGGTCCAGCCTAGAATCCATACGTAGAGACAAGCGAGCTAAGTTCAACCTCCCTTGGATTCCATTGCTCCTTATCTACCTCCAAGCAGGTGCTAAATATCAGTTAAGAAGATTTCTGTTTGTAGGCATGAATATAAATCAGTTTAATTAGACCTTCGTGCATGGATCTGGTTGTTTGCACCTGATGTTATACTTTTTCTCTCCAGGGGAGTAATTTAAATGTGTGCAATTAGATGGACTGTATGAACATGTGTTTGTACGTTGGAAAGGATCTAAGCATGAGGAAGGAAGGAAGGACAGAAGGGAGAGGGGGAAGGAGGAGGGGGGAGGGAGAAAGGAAGGAAGGGAAGAGAAGGAAGGGAAGGAAGGAGGAAGGAATGGAAGGAAGGAGAGAGGGAGGGAGGAAGGGAGGAAGGAAGGAATGGAAGAGAGGGGAGGGAGGGGGGAGGTGGAAGGAAGGAACTGAAGGAAGGGAGGGGTGTATGGGAGGGAGGGAGGAAGGAAGGAAGGAGGGAGGGAGGGAGGGAGGGAGGGAGGAGGGGGAGGGAGGGAGGGAAAGCGAAGGGTGGAAGGAAGGAAGGGAAGGAAAGATGGAGGAGGGAGGGAGAGGGAGGGAAGGAGTAAGGAAGGGGGAAGGGAGTAAGGAAGGAGGAAGGAAGGGGTGTATGGAAGGGAGGGATGGAGGGAAGGAAGGAAGGAATGGAAGGAAAGAGGAAGGAAGGAATGGAAGGAAGGAGTGTACGGAAGGGAGAAAGGAAGGAATCAATCAATCAATCAATCCAATTTTGGGGTAAATAAGAAAGATAACTTTAGTATTATATTCAAGCAAAAGTGTTTAATCCTGGTTTATAATTTTGCTCTCATCCCTGCTTAAGGTTCCAAACATTCAGGGAGCCCATCGTCACCCAAGATTAATTTAGGTATGTTGATTTTTCATATCTTATTCTCTATAGGACTGCCTACTTAATATATGCACAGATAACACAGAACTATGCAAACGACCCATTAATCGCCTTACCAAGTGGAGCGGCTGGTGTCCAAAGAATTACAATTTATTGGTTTATTTACTTTAAAGTCGGAGACTAAAAGGAAGAAAATGGCTTCCTGACCAAATAGAATAAATTAAAACTCCACTGAATTAAAGAAGATATATGCATAATAAAATCAACCAGTAAAACAATATAAAGATCATAACTAACAAGGCAATCCGTGATACCAGAAATGTATCATTTTAATCTACTAAATGCTGTCTGGCTATTGCTAGCGGTAGTGAGTTTAAGTCTGTTAATTTCTGATTTCATGTTTAATGGAGCAAGAAGCTTTAAAAAGCTACCCTGTTTCCCCGAAAATAAGACATCCCCTGATAATAAGCCCAATCGGGCTTTTGAGTGCATGCGCTAAAATCCTCCCCGAAAATAAGCCCTCCTCTAAAATATTTAAACACAGAGCTGGAAATCAGGTATAAGGGCAAGAGGAGTCCCGTCTTGCTCCACACGCCCCAAAATAATAAGACCTCCCCGAAAATAAGGCCAAGCGCTTATTTCAGGGTTCAAAAAAATATAAGACAGGGTCTTATTTTCGGGGAAACATGGTAGTTCAGTGTAGAGACATTACATCAGGAGCAAGGATACGAGACATCACGGCCGTACAAATAATTTTGGGTTGCTCATTCACCCCATCACAAAAATTACCTGGGAAACAGACAACCACCACCCAAAAAGATAAGCTGAATCTGAAAATGTTGCTAAGGAAACTCGTTAGGAAGAGTAAAAGTTGACTCAAAGGGCCAGAACAACATAGAAAATCAAACGTCAAGAAAAATCAAACCAATTTTGAAACTGTTGCTAAGGAAACGTCTTATTACGAGTAAACGTTGACTTGAAAGACGATGGTAACAAGAAGAACCGTTTTCTTTTCTAAAAAAAGTTCTGGTAAAATAGTAAGCTGCTGGTAAGACCTGAACAATCTTGAACTCAGTCCAGCCAGAACATTCTTTAAATGTTTGCTTGGATCATATGAATGAACATTGGTCAATATATGTATGTTTATGTCCTAGGTCAATGATGGCTAAGCTTTTTGTCCTCGTGTGCCAAAAGCACGCGCGCCGGCACCCAAATGCAATGCTTGCCCCCACCTGTGCATGCACGCACAACCTCCCCACACTTCCCCCTGCCCCTGTGCATGCACACATGACCCCCCCCCCCCCCCCCCCCGCACATGGCCCCCTGGCCCCCCCCGTGCCCTGTTTTGGGCCTAGTAGGCCTCCATGCAGCCTCCTAGGAACAAAAATGCCCCACACACTCCCCGCCCCCTGCATGCACCCTGCCCCCCCCATTCCAAAAATCAACTGGAGATGCTCACTTGCACGCGCGGTGGAGGTGAGTGTTCTGCCCCAGCTACAGACCCCAAAGAACGCAGCACACACAAAGCCCGTTCAATCCTTAGTTTACTAAATAAACCAGTTTTTTTACAACAATGGCTGTTAATTAACTGCATTAACAGCTGCCAAGAATTCAAAGAATAATAACTGAAAGCTTACTGTGGTTGGCAGAATGCCCAGAAGCAATTTGCAGGAAGCTGATAAGATAAGCAAGACAAGACACGAAGGTATGTGAACGAAGTTGTTCCCTGCAAATTGCTTCAGTCGGCGTTCCTCCTTAAATAGGCTAAGGGAGTGGCCAATTAGCCCCAAGCCTTCCTCTCTAGGAGACCTCCTCCTGAGAAGCCACTCCTGCCTTTTGGCAGCTCTGTGCACCCATGCATCAAGAAGAGGCTCCCCCTCTACGTCCTCTTCACTTAAGGGAGCTTCTGGAGGTTCTGAAGGCCCTGGCTGAATCCCCGCCTCTGGCACCACATCTTCTCCAGCCTCCTCATTGTCCGAGTCGAGTGCTAGCTGCACAGGCTGCTGGCGCAGCACCACACCAGCCTCCCCGCTGTCTGAATCAGCTACTAGCTGCACAGGCTGCTGACGGGCCACAACACTGAGCTGGGCAACGGCTCGTGTGGCCTCAGAGAGAGCTCTGCGTGCCAGCTGTGGCACATGTGCCATAGGTTCTCCATCATGGCCCTAGGTTGTTGCAGTAGTCTTAAATTAGAAGAATCATGTTTAATCATAGCTAAAGACACCACATTCAACCCAAGCAAGATATTCCTAACAAGAGCCAAAACATCTAAAATAATAGAGGGGCACTCCAATTGTTTATTCTTCTTTTGTTTCTTCCAGGTTGATTTTAAAAAGTATACGTGTATACTTGACTTAAAAAGTGTAAGTCAAAGTAGTCCTTGACTTACAACACTTCACTTTGTGACCATTTCGAAGTTACCACGGCACTGAAAAAAGTGACTTTTATGACCATTTTTCACACTTATGACCGTTGCAACATCCCCATGGTCATGCGATCAGAATTGAGATGCTTGACAACCGACTCACGTTGATGATGGTTGCGGCATCCCGAGGTCACGTGATCCCTTTTTTTGCGATCACGTGATCAACGGGGAAGCCAGATTCGTTTAACAAGCATGTTACTAATTGAACAACCGCAGTGATTCACTTAACAACTGCGGGAAAACTCACAGCAAATTTCTCACATAGCTCTAAATATTGGGTTCCATTGTGGTCATAGGTTGAGGACTAGCTGCAAAATGGTAGACAGACAGATAGATAAATACAAAGATAGATAGATAGATAGACAGACAGACAGACAGACACATACATACATACATACATACATACATACATACATACATACATACCCTGTTTCCCCGAAAATAGGACCCAGACGGAAATTAAGTCCTAGCATGATTTTTCAGGATGCTCGAAATATAAGCGCTGTCACCCAAAATAAGCCCTAGTTAAGATTGTCAGCCAGATGGATGCATTTAGTACAGTATTTCCCCCAAAATAAAACTAACCAGAAAATAAGCCCTAATGCGTCTTTTGGAGCAAAAATTAATATAAGACCCATTCTTATTTTTGTGGAATCATGACAGACAGACAGATAGGTAGGTAGGTAGGTAGGTAGGTAGGTAGGTAGGTAGGCAGGCAGGCAGACAAGCAGGCACGACAGACAGACAGATGATAGATGATAGATAGATAGATAGATAGATAGATAGATAGATAGATAGATAGATTAGATAGATAGAAAGGTAGATAGATAGAATGATAGATAGATAGATAGATAGATAGATAGATAGATAGATAGATAGATGATAGATAGATAGATTAGATAGAAAGTAAATAGATAGATAGAATGATAGATAGAATGATAGATAGATAGATAGATAGATAGATAGATAGATAGGTTAAATTTTGACCGTAAATTGAGGACTAGTGAACCAAATGCTTTTTTTTCCCAAATCATCTCAACAGAGGAAACTTCCAGAGGCCCCGTCAAAGCCGGCTACCTCAAATACAAAGAAGAACCCTCCAAGCTTCTGTCTGCCAATAAATTTCAAGACCGCTATTTCGTTTTACGAGAAGGAAAATTGTGGCTTTATAAGGACATGAAGGTACAAATGCTGTCGCGGGACTTTTTCAATTTACCTCTGATCCCACCCCTTCTCTTTACATGAGATTTGGTAGACGGACATTGGATGCGGTCGTGTTCCTCTCGATTATGCGGATGATGGGGGAAAAAAATTAGATTAATGCCAGGAGGAGAAACTAACAATGAAAACTTAACTTAGAGGGTTATTATTATATTTTTTTAGTGTTCTGCAACAATGTTCGTGAATGCAATATTGAAGTCACACTTGTAGCGTCTTCCAGATTTTTTAATAGGTGGCTGAGTTATGGAAGAGGATAGGAAGTGATTACTTTCTGGCATCTTCCTATACGTGACAAGATACCGTGTTTTTCGGAGTATAAGACGCACCTTAGTTTTTTGGGAGGAAAATAAGAAAAAAGCTGATTGGCAGGTGGATCGGCCTCCCGGAATAGCTGTTCCCAGAATTTTAGCAACAGGTTCCTTGGCTATGAGCTCTGTGCCTTGCTTTTTTTTTTTTTTGCGCCTTTTTTTTTCTGTCTCTGAAACTTCTGAAACTCCATTTCAGAAAAAACTTTTTTTCCTGCCTCTGAAAGCTTCTGAAACAGAGCTTCAGAAAAAAAGCCTCCGAAGCTCTGTTTGGAGGCTTTTTTCTGAACCTATGTTTGGAGGCTTTTTTTTCTGAAGCTCTGTTTGGGGGCTTCTTTTCAGAAACTTCGTTTCTGATGCTTTTTTCAGCCTCTGAAACCTCCGTTTCAGAAGCTGGGCGGGACTACATTCAGAGTATAAGACGTACCCAGATTTTCACCCTCTTTTTGGAGGGAAAAAGGTGCGTCTTATATTCTGAAAAATACGGTAGATCTTGTGAAGCTGAAGTCCTTGGCCCAGTACTCTTCAATATCATTCATAATCGACTTAGATGAGGGAATAGAAGGGGAACTTACCAAATTTGCAGATGATACTAAGCTGGCAGGAATAGCTAACACCCTAGAAGACAGGCTCAAGATCCAGATGGATCTTGACAGACTTGAACACTGGGCCCTCTCTAACAAAATGAAATTTAAGGTAGAGAAAAGTAAAGTCTTACACTTAGGCAAGAAAAATCAAAAGTATATCTATAGACTGGGTGAAACCAGGCTTAATTGCATTAACTGTGAGCGGGAGCTTGGAGTCTTAGTGGACAATCAATTAAATATGAGCCAATAATAGGCAGCGGTAGCCAAAAAAGCCAATGCAATCCTAAATTGCATCAGCAACAACCACAATTGATCTTAATTACAATCAAGATGAAGCGAGGTACTAATACCTCTCTATAAAGCCTTAGTAAGACCACACCTAGAGTATTGCATCCAATTTTGGTCACCATACTATAAAAAAGACGTTGAGACTCTAGAAAGAGTGCAGAGAAGAGCAACCAAGATGATGAGGGGACTGGAGGCTAAAACATACGATGAACGGTTGCAGGAACTGAGCATGGCTAGTCTAGTGAAGAGAAGAGGAGACACGATAGCCGTCTTCCAATATTTGAGGGGCTGCCACAGAGAGGAAGGGGTCAAGCTATTTTCCAAAGCACCTGAAGGCCAGACAAGGAATAATGGATCGAAATTGATCAAGGAGAGATTCAACCTGGAATTAAGGAGAAATTTTCTGACAGTGAAAACAATCAACCAATAGAACAGCTTGCCTTCAGAAGTTGTGGGAGCTTCATCATTGGAAGCTTTCGAGAAGAGACTGGACTGCCATCTTTCAAAAGTCCAAGATAGGCTAGGATCAAATATGGGAACATAACAATGTAAGGAAAAAAGAAACAGCCTTAGGTGGAAAAAGTAGGAGTTGACTATGACTGACTGATCAACTGAGATCATAACTTTGTCTTAAGAAACTAGTCTCATAGCCGTAAAACAACATGTCTACTCTAGAGAAAAGAAGGACTAGGGGAGACATGATAGCAGTGTTCCAATATCTCAGGGGCTCCCATAAAGAAGAGGGAGTCTAGCTATTCTCCAAAGCACCTGAAGGCAGGACAAGAAGCAACGGATGGAAAGTCATCAAAGAGAGAAGCAACGTAGAACTAAGGAGAAATTTCCTGACAGTGAGAACAATTAATCAGTGGAACAACTTGCCTCCAGAAGTTGTGAATGCTCCAACACTGGAAGTTTTTAAGAAGCTATTGGATAACCATTTGTCTGAAGGATGTAGGGATTCCTGCCTGGGCAGGGGGTTGGACTAGAAGACCTCCAAAGTCCCTTCATCTCTGTTAATCTGTTGCTCAGTAAGAATGGCATGGAAAATCCATTTTAGCAATAGTGCTGAATCCATTTTCATTGTCCCCTTTCATTGCCATGCAATAGGTAAACAGGACATGGACGTAAAAAATATTATTTTTGGTCTCAAAACCAGAACGCATGCTTTTTTTGTTACCTGCCATCAATGTCACAGGGATTCCTGCAGCAACCTCATTTCTGAGTGGGACTAGACTTGTGAATTAATTAGGAAGGTCTGAATGATTGCTCTTGCTATATGATTAATGGTTCAGCATTTTTGAACGCGTCTGTGTATTCTGATGGAAACATGTAATTACCCGCTAAGAGTAATCAGACCTTCATATTTATATTTTGTTTTGTTTTGCGCTGGGGTCTTTCGACAACAATCAACCAATTTCTCTATTTTGCTTCCATGGATTGCAAACAGCTCCAGATCTGACCATTGCGGTAATATGCAAATATTATCATGTAATAAAAAAGTGAAATCGCATAGATACTCCTTCCAGCTATCCAATCACACAATGCTGGTAAAAGTTGGAAAATGGATATTGTCCTTTGTTGGGATTGCCCGAAAGGAGAACACAATAACCAGGGGTGAAATTTACTTACCTTCCTTACCGGTTCGAAAGTGCGCGCATGCAAGCATCACATGCACGGGCAGACCTGCGCATGTGCAAAACCTTCTGTGCATGTGCAGAGGGTAAAAATCATTAAAAAGCAATTCAAGGTGTTGGTCATTACCTTTAAAGCCCTACATGGCTCAGGGCAGGCTATTTTCAAGACCGTCTTCTATCACATAGCTCCCAGTGACCGGTAAGATCCCACAGAGTCGGTCTCCTCCAGGTCCCATCAGCTAAACAATGTCGGCTGGCGGGTCCACGGGGGAGGGCCTTCTCTGTGGCTGCCCCGGCTCTCTGGAACCAATTACCTCCCGAGGTCCGGACTGCCCCCACTGTCAGCATTCTGATGCTGCCATAAAAAGACGAGGCTTGACTTTTCACCTACTTATTTTCTCTGTAGATAATATCTCCTAGGACAGTGATGGCTAACCTTTTTGCCATCATGTGCCAATAGCGTAGGGAGCATGGGGGAGTTGTGAGCACACGTGCCCACACCTATTATTCTATGTGCCCCCCCATGCATACCTGCACACACACACCCCTTCATGTTCCCCCCCAGTTTTGGCATGCAATGACCTGGTGGGCCTGGTAGACCTGTTTTTCACTCTCCCTAAGATCCAGAGACTTTCTAGAAGCCTGGGGAGGGCGAAAACAGCCTTCCCCACCCCTGCAGAGGCCTGAAATGGCCCATTTGCTGACTTCTGGTGGGACTGGAAGGCCCATTTTTTGCTCTCCTCAGGCTCCTAGAAAGGCTCTGGAGCTGGGAGAGAGCAAAAAAACGGGCCTTCCCCCCCCTCCCCAGAGGTCCTTCAGAGGCCAGAAATAGCGTGTTTCCTGACTTCCAGTGGGCCCAGAAGGCCTGAAAATAAGTTGGCCAGAGCACACATGCACTCTGGAGCTGAGGTTGTGTGCCCACCAATATGGCTCCACATGCCACCTGTAGCACGCGTGCCATAGGTTCGCCATCACGGCCCTAGGAGATGGGATGGGAGGGGGGACATTCCTGTGGGATGAGGTCAGAAGCTGGGGAGACTGACTTGGAAGACGGCCAATGAGAAGATGAGAATTGGGGAATGGAAAGGGAAGGGTTTGGGGGTCAGAGGGTTAGTACCGGCTATCTGTCAGGTTTCGATGTCATCTCAAATAAATTACACTCCCAATTACCCTATTGGCCTTCCGCAAAGCGGTGAAGACTTGGCTCTTCCGGCAGGCCTGGGGTCGTTGATCTCGTTATAATGATCTTGCGAGATCCGGCCACGAATTGGAGTGCATGTGTTTTAACGTTTTTAAAGTTTTTAATGCTTTAATGTTTCTTTTTAACATTTTTAATGGGATTGTTCGCATTGTTTTATTCTTTGTTATAAGCTGCCCAGAGCCCCTTGGGAGTTGGGCGGGATAAAAATGCGACAAAATAAATAAAATAAAATAAATTATTTGCCGGTTCTCCAAACTACTCAAAATTTCCGCTACCAGTTTTTCAGAACCTGTTGGATTTCACTCCTGCGTTTCCCCCTGAAATTAATAGCTTGTCTTTAAACCCAACGCGACAAATCTTTGGAAACTCATGATCTCAGCAAAGTGGTTGTGTTTATTTTGCTATGTATAATGTTACATTAATTGCCTGGCCAGGAAAAAAAAGGGAACAAAAAAAGAAAAAAAAAACCCACCCGAGAACAGCACTATTATTTTAAATAATGCAGTCACTTTCTCATAAGCTCGATTAATAAGTGCGTTGCCGCTGCATGAATGGATGCTTTTATTACCGCAGCCAAATGGGTTAAGAATCGTTTTTGAGATACTAAAAGCCCAATTAGCCATGAAATTCTGAGTAGGGATGGGGTGGGGGGAGAAAGGGAGTGCTCGGAACTGAGCTAATTTTTGTCTTAAGTGGCACGTCATGTTTCATACTGTCAGGCCTAAGTACAGGCGGAGCTTTAAAAGTAGATAGGGTCGCTCTGACATTCTGTTTCGGTGCGTGAAATTCCCATAGGTACAATCCGCCTCTAAAAAGAGAGCTGCAAAATGAATTTCCACAGACCTCTAGCTTTCCGTATCGTTGCAAACACATTGACTAAATCAAACTCTTACTATTTAATTATGGGCTTTTATCCAGCGGAGAAATTTGCCTGGAGAAAACATTGGATTTTCTTGTCTCTCTGTGTGTGTTGTTGTTGTTGTGTGCAAAAAGAATAACATGGCAATCTATTGTGATTTCATCTGATCTTGGAAAAGGCAGGCAGGAGCTGCATAGAAATGTACTCATAATGCTGGAAAGGACCTTGGAGTTCTTTTAGTCCAGGGGTGTCAAACTCAGGGCCCGGGGACCGGATTTGGCCAGTGAGGTGTTTAGATCGGCCTGGAAAACAGCAAAGGACTGTGGTGCTTCTGCCAGAGAAAATGGAGCTCGGGGTAGGGGGTAGGGGTAGGTTCTACTTATCTTTACTACCAGTTCGCAACGGGGCCACGCACATGCACAGATCATCATTTATTATGTCCGGGCAGGTGGGTGGAGCCTCCTGCCGATTTTACTACTGATTCTGTAGAACCGGACAGAAACGGGAGCAACCCACCACTGGGAGGGGGAGGCACATGCACGGCCCCTCTGAGATCCATTTTCTCTGTCAGAGGGCTGCAGGAGGCCATCACGGCCAAAAACAGGGCACGGGGGGAGGTGCATCTGAGCATGCAAGAAGGGACAGAGAAGGGGAAAGAGGAAGGACAAAGAAAAAGATGGGAGGAGAGCAAGGAAGGAAAAAGAAGGAAAGAGGGGAAGGAAGAAGAAAGGAGAATGAAGAGGGAAGGAAAAAGAAAAGGAAGGAAGGAAGGAAGGAAGGAAGGAAGGAAGGAAGGAAGGAAGGAAGGAAGGAAGGAAGGAAGGAAATTATGAGAGTGAGGGAGGGTCTCAGGGAAGTCCTGCCTTAGCACTTGGCCACCACAGTGCACCCTTGACACGAGTGACATTGAGCTGGCCATGCCTACCATGGCCATGCCCACCCCGACCACGCCCCCCTCCCCCCCCCCCCCCCCGAGGTCAAACACAACCCTGATGATGCCCCCAATGAAATCGAGTTTGACACCCCTGTTCTAGTTCAGCCCAGGAGACCTTAGTAAGGATTTTGTTGTGGCCCGTCAGTGGCCTGTGCAGCTAGTAGCTGATTCTGACAGCGAGGAGGCTGGTGTGGTGCTGCGCCAGCAGCCTGTGCAGCTGGCACTCGAGTCGGACAATGAGGAGGCTGGAGAAGATGTGGTGCCAGAGGCAGGGATTCAGCCAGGGCCTTCAGAACCTCCAGAAGCTCCCTTAAGTGAAGAGGATGAAGAAGAGGAGCCTCTTCTCGATGCACGGGCGCGCAGAGCTGCCAACAGACAGGAGTGGCTCCTCAGGAGGAGGTCTCCTTGAGAGTAAGGCTTGGGGCTAATGGGCCACTCCCTTCACACTCCTTCACGTCTGGATCTTAGTTCTTTTATCAGCTTCCTGCAAATTGCTTCTGGGCTTTCTGCCAATCCTAGTAAGATTACGATTATTTATTCTTTGGATTCTTGTAGGCCGTTAAGAAAGTTAATTAACAGCCTTTGTTTGAAAAAGACTGATTTACTTTAGTAAACTAAGGTTTGTACAGACTTTACGTGTGCTGCGTTCTTAGGGGTCCGTAGCTGGGGCAGAACATGCACGGCCACATAGGAAAGTTTGGAGCAAAAATAAATAAATAAAAACTGAAATATATAAGAACATTCTTATTTATCAGGAGTTCTCTGTGTTGTTTCTCTCTGGTGAGGGAAACGGATGAGGTGAACTGTTCCTCTCAGCCAATTGTTCCTCAGCAATTTGATATTGGTCTTCTTCTAGTACAGGGGTGTCAAACTCAATTTCATTGAGGGCCACGATCAGGATTGTTTTTAACCTCAGGGGGCCGGGGTGGACGTGGCCAGGATGGGCAACGTCACTCAAGGTGAGCTGGAAATGAACGGATTTGTTTTTTTGCAAGATTTCGACAGGATGTTCAGAAGATGAACCGATCTGGAGGCCTGGTGGGTATGTTTTCTGTTTCACTAACGGTCGTTTCTCAACCACAACAGAGCAGCAAAGCGGAGAAAGCGTTTCCTGTCAAGTCGCTGAAACTTTACCTCGGGGTGAAGAAAAAACTGAAACCACCAACGAAGTAAGCAAGCCACGACGGCTGGGTTTCGTTCAAAAGCACGCTTGCTTTTTTGTTGTTGTTGCTGTGTTACCGAAACGTAAAAGCTTCAAAAAGCCAAAACAAATAAGGGAACCAACCTGTTATCTATTGCCTGGTCTGTGGTAAGCCGCAGTTCCACAATGTTAGCTATTTGGAGGGCTCCTGTCATTACTCTGGTGTTCAGAAATGACTTTATTGAACAGTTATTTCTAATCTCGGTATGCTTTCTCCCGGGGGTTATATTGCTTATGGGATCAAATTATCCCACTGCATTGGAATGGAATGGAGGTAGAGTGGAATGGAATGGGATGGGATGGGATGGGATGGGATGGGATGGGATGGGATGGGATGGAATGGAATGGAATAGAATAGAATAGAATAGAATAGAATAGAATAGAATAGAATAGAATAGAATAGAATAGAATAGAATAGAATAATGGGGTGGGGTGGGATGGAATAGACTAGAATAGAATTAATATAGCATAGGTAGAATAGAATAGAATAGAATAGAATAGAATAGAATAGAATAGAATAGAATAGAATAATGGGTTGGGGTGGGATAGAATAGAATAGAATAGAATAGAATAGAATAGAATAGAATAGAATAGAA